TTATAGGGAGGGTTATATGGAGTAATAGGAGGAGTTATAGGGAGGGTTATATGGAGTAATAGGAGGGGTTATATGGAGTAATAGGCAGAGTTATAGGGAGGGTTATATGGAGTAATAGGAGCTGCTATAGGGAGGGTTATATGGAGTAATAGGAGGAGTTATAGGGAGGGTTATATGGAGTAATAGGAGGAGTTATAGGGAGGGTTATATGGAGTAATAGGAGGGGTTATAGGGAGGGTTATATGGAGTAATAGGAGGGGCTATAGGGAGGGTTATATGGAGTAATAGGAGGAGTTATAGGGAGGGCTATATGGAGTAATAGGAGGAGTTATAGGGAGGGTTATATGGAGTAATAGGAGGAGTTATAGGGAGGGTTATATGGAGTAATAGGAGGAGTTATAGGGAGGGTTACATGGAGTAATAGGAGGAGTTATAGGGAGGGTTATATGGAGTAATAGGAGGAGTTATAGGGAGGGTTATATGGAGTAATAGGAGGAGTTATGGGGAGGGTTATATGGAGTAATAGGAGGAGTTATAGGGAGGGTTATATGGAGTAATAGGAGGAGTTATAGGGAGGGTTATATGGAGTAATAGGAGGAGTTATAGGGAGAGTTATATGGAGTAATAGGAGGAGGTTATAGGGAGGGTTATATGGAGTAATAGGAGGGGTTCTAGGGAGGTTATATGGAGTAATAGGATTAGTTATAGGGAGGGTTATATGGCGTAATAGGAGGGGTTATAGGGAGGGTTATATGGAGTAATGGGAGGAGTTATAGGGAGGGTTATATGGAGTAATAGGAGGGGTTATATTGAGGAGTTATATGGAGTAATAATTATTTTTATAAGGAATTGTATAAGAGTGAGGCAGCACACCTTGAAGGATATGTAAAATATTAAAATGTAATATTGGTAAAGACATTAACAGCCTGGCAGATTTATAATATGTTATTGACAAACATGTTAAATTATTTCCCCATTATGAAAAAAACTATCTGAGCAGAAAAATAAAATAAAATCTCATTTGTTCGTTGACAGGAAACCTCCAGAGAATCAATAGTGAGAAAGTGAATGTCAATTGAATTGAAATATTAACTGTTGCACAGCCGAGGAATCTCTAAATACAATCATATTGTTTGCATGTTGGTTAGATAGCCAGAATCTTGGCAGCTTCTCATTCAAATGACCTGGGGTTGTCTCCCACTGATTGAATCCTATAAATCTTGGACCATTCTTAATAACTTGTAAGAAAAACACTGGAGTTGTACCATAGAGCTACTCTAAATAATGAAAACGCAAGCTATAAAGATTTCTGGAAGTTAAAAGGGTGATGCATGGTACGTATTAAAGTGGCTCGGTCATCTTCTGGGGTCTTTGCATATTTTGGTGAGCGGTGGCTTGGGGGTTCAGGAGAAGCATGTGAGCCATTTTGGCCTGTTCCTTGCGGTCGCCACCATCATCTCCTGCACTTATCTCCCAGGGGTTGACTACAGGAACCTTCATAGACAAAGCCTTTTTCCACCATCGCTAGTGTCGTGACAGCAGTATCTCGCCTTTTGTCAAGAGTAGGAAATATACATAAGAAAAAATAGTCCTTACTTTGCCTTTTCATATATTTTAACTGGGTTGAAATTTCATTGAATTTATTTTGGAGAGGGAGGAGGGATAACAGAGCCATTTTAATACGTGATATTTTATAACACTGAAATGGCTCAATCTCTTTAGTGTAAAAGATATTATGACTCAATTGTCAGTGAGTGACAGAGAGTCAATGCCCTTTTCTCACCAGTGCAGATGACTGATCCAAACAGTTAGACAGACTAACTGCTGCCTGAAGAATACTCTTTGCTATAAAATATCAATAATTGTTGCACATGTCCTGGTTCAGTTACTCAGTATGCCGTGCAAGCCTGGTTGAAGTTGAATCAGTGTGCATTTGTAGCTTGATGACGTCTGCAGATGGCTGGGATAAGAGAAAACGTGTGCATAGTTTCGGGATTGCAGGAAGCTCTCCCTTTATACCACACCCACTTATGTCGTCTTTTACCCCTTGAAAATAAATGGTTCTAGTCAAGTATTGCTGGGACAGCCTCCATGTTTTTCCTAGGACTGCAACCCATCCTGCATTTTTAAAGGTAGTTCATACGTCCACAGCTTTAAAACTCGTACATTAACCCAGTCATGGTAGACACACTGAGCAGCCATTGCAAGTACTGGCAGTGCCCACCTTTGCAATGACTGATTTTTTAAAAAAAAATTCTGCATGAATGAGTGTAATGTGAGTGAGAGGGTCATTGCTGATTATAAACCCAGTTACAGTTACAGTCATTTATTAAATGAAGTCAGGCTGCATAGTGAGATCGTATAAAATGCAATCTAAATGTAATTCCGAAATGCATATTAAGCCCTCTAATACTTTTTATGGTATCATAAAGATATAAGAATTAGGGGTATATTTAATTGGAATAATGTGTTTTCAAATTAATTACTGTCCCTTTAAATAGATCCCCAACTCCTTTGTTCAAAATAAATAGCCCAGGTTTGGTTCTCTGCCCACAAGGCCACTGTGTACATTCACACGTGCCAATCAAAGTTCCCCATGTCTAGAGCTTGCACGTATCCCATCTGTCGTTCATACACAGCCCATACATGGCATTATATACTGAGCTCAATAAGATGTTTATTATGTAATGATGAAGTGGTGATTCTTTACTTACTAAGCATACCATATGGCATCGTTTTTCTTCTGCAAAAGCAATTACACAGGGTGTTCGGAAAAACTTTCACTTGTTGGACCTGGGTGATTTACACTTCAGTTACCCTGTAGCAAAGCACTTAGGCTGTCTGTGCATCATAAGGGAGGTATTTAGTCAATATCTGCGATGTTGGGGTTAGGCAATGCTGCTCATTGTGTCTCCCTGGGGTTCCTTGATTGGATCTGGTTCAGAGATCTGTTTAAAAGAAGACTCAGTTGGCACATGAATGCCATAATTTGAGTTCTCTAGTGTCCACCTGCTGAGAGCTGAGAGTCTCAAGGGTCGTTCCTCCATAGGGCAAACTTAGTGGAGATGGTAGATCCTTCTGAATCTGGGTGCGAGACATAACATACTTATGGAACTGCTAGCAAACCTGCCCATCAAAGCTAAGAAGAAACAATATTTCATCTTTGTTTTTTGTTTCAGTTTCTAAGTTATTGGCATGAACTGGTAATAGTTTGCAATAATAACAATTAGTCAAGTGGCTGTCAACATGGGTTAGAGCTTTAGTGGGTTCCTTTAGTCGCAGGAATTGGTGGAACAATTCTCAGTTATAGTATGTACTATTACTTACAAATGGGCGGCCAGTGAGACAGAGAGCATGAGTGGACTCTCTTAGCCCATCCCTGGCCACCAAGGCAAAGCTTCCTGGAGTAGATGATGGAAATGGCTGTCAGGCACCAGGGGACCAACTTCAGGGTTAAATCTTTTTAAAATGCTTTAACCCCTAAAGGTAAGATGATGCCCAGGAGTGGCCCTTTACGTTTATCAAACACCAAGTCAAAGTCCTCAATACGTTGTTTATTTTAGTGGCCCTGACTTCAGCATTATAATATTATTACTATCACTCCATTGCTGTATTATTACTATCACTCCATTGCTGTAGAATCCCCTTTACATAGAAAGAGTTTTAGTTTTTTTTTTTTTAAATATATATTTTATT